AGCTCAAAAATGTACCAAATGAAAATCGTACAGCAGTGTACCGTACATCTTCAGGTATTACAAAAACACTCTGACAGACATTTCTAGTGGTGGGGTACCCCTGACAGAGCTATGTAATTGCCAGACATTTGTTTTGGTGGAGTATCCCTGACAAGAGTTATCTAATATTTAGACCAAAGCTAGGCTAAAACAGCTTTGGAGTTGTTCAGTACCACCACAGGAGTCATGAATGACCACTTCCAGACAGTTTGTGCGGTGGGTTACCCCTAACAGACACGTCCCAAAATGCCACGCCCCAACTAGGCTAACTTCGCAAGCACTGTTCCCGTGTTTTAAAAAAATTAAATTTTTAGCCAGGATGCGTAGAATACTAATACCTAGCAAGTATGGAAGAGGCGATAAACTGCGGTTGCAAGAAATTGATTATGGGAAAAAACTTTTTATGGGGCTAAAAATGCATTTTTAAAAGAAAAAAATTGTTCCCGGAACCGCAGTTTATCTCCTCTTCAATACGTGCTAGGTATTAGTAATCTACGCATCCTGGTACAATTTTTAAATTTGTGGACCACGGGAACAGTGCCGGCTAATCTATCCTAGTTGGAGGGCGTGTCTATTAGGGGTAACCCACTGCACAAACTGTCTGGCAGTGGTCATTCATGATTCCTCTCGTGGTACTGAACAACTCCAAAGCTGTTTTAGGTGGTACAGATTTGAGCTAATCTAGCCTAGCTTTGGTCTAAATATTAGATAACTCTTGTCAGGGATACTCCACCAAAACAAATGTCTGGCAATTACATAGCTCTGTCAGGGGTATCCCACCACTAGAAATGTCTGTCAGAGTGTTTTTGTAATACCTGAAGCTGTACGGTACCTTGCTGTACGATTTTCATGTGGTACACTTTTGAGCTAATCTAGACTAGTTGGGGGGCATGGCTTTTTGGAAGTGGAATACCACACCCACTACCAGATATACATACATTGATACCATATAGGAGAAAATTGGTACACTTTTCAGCTAGGTTAACCCCCTGGGCTCCCGCTCTATGAGTGCATAGTTTGATTCTCTGTAGGATTTCACTTCTGGTCAATTCCCTAAAAAAAGAAATCATGCCCACTGTGCCCCGCTCTCCCCTACTCAATAACACCCCACTGATTCCATAATTCCCTAATACTGTAAAACAAAACAATTAACTACCATACAGAATAATTTGTTTTATATGAAATGAGCAAGACAAAATAGCATAGATTATTAAAAGAGAGATTTAGTTGTAGATCCTATTTAGAATTTGTTTTATAAATGTAACCATAATGAATATTATCTGTGTCTTTTATTTTAATCTGAATAAATTGGAATTAGCCAACACACCTCAAGTAATAATAGGCTTCTATTTCAAACAACAAGCTGTGGGCGTGGAATTATTACTAATGCTGCTAATATGAATACCAATGATGTCAATATAAATAATTAATTATGTTGGCTTTTACGAAACAAAAGGGTTTTAAGTAATAATCATATGAATTTAGTTCATCCAAGCGATGCAAATATGTGTGACTTCCTTGTCTTCTAGTGCCATTGCTACTGACTGTTTATTTAAAGATGGGTTTCCAGAAAAGTATTTATCGGGTGGTTATTTCCAATAAAAGTATGGTAATTTTGGTATAAATGGAAAGTAAAGATATCCAATCTAGCTAGAAAAATACTGGATTTCCCGAAAAACACTCATGGAGCGTATACAGGACAAAAATGTAAGAGTTCCCCTAATCAACAGCCCGACAATTAGGAATTTCTGCACGTGTGATGTCAAAGGTCACACATGAACATTGAGTGCTTGATGTACAAGTTGATAAACTTTATGAAGAGTTAGACGTACAACACTTTCTGATTGATCAAATTTTTGTAGCAGGATATTCCTTCGCAATTACAATGTTTGAGAAGGATTTGAAGCAAAATTATGACAGATTAATTAGTTTGAATATGTTTTTAGTCCATATATACCATTAAATCACCCAGTTTGTACGCGGGAACCCATCTTAAATCCGATTGCAATTATTCAATAAACCCCAATATCGGGCATTCGAATCTATTCTGTAAAATCGTGGTTGAATTTAATAAATTCATAGTTCTCTGCCCTGCACCACTGACAAGGGAAACAACATAAGAAAATCCTGATGAACTTTCTCGGCTTATGCAGGGATCGAACACCAAACTTCCAGGTAAGCGAGTCACCGTCTTATCCGCTTAGCCAAGGTTGCTCCTTGAACTTATGACCACATTCACATAGTCTGAACCTTCTACTGGGCCCACACTGGCTTTCAATTTTTTTTCTGCCCAAATGGATGATAATTTTTATATACAAAAGTATTCATATTTTTTTCCCGCCAACTGGAATATTTTATCTGCCGAAAATGTGTGATAAAAAAGACAACATGTAACAATTTCATTTCCCAGGTAGGCCTATTATAAAACAATTACCGATATAATTACAATATACATCAACTGAAAAAATCTGTCTTTACATAATAATAGATCCTCTCAGTTTTGAGATGACTTTAGCCTATTTGAACACTGTATTGCATAATATATTTTCAGCCAGCACAAATCAAAGTCATCTACCACCAACTCGGCCGTGGCCCAACACCTACAATCCAACCAAGGACACAGAATTAAATCGTATACAACTCTGGAAGCCAACCTTCCTGTAGAAAAGCCCCGAAAACTGATCGAGGTGATACACATCAAAAGAAACAGTCCAGACCTCAACCGTGACGCAGGGATATTCCTGCCAAGTGCTTATGATGGACTTATTAAATAACTTAATACCATGTTCGTTATCACCCCCAACTAATTCGTTAGCATGTGAATAACAGGTCCTTGTAGAAACCCTTTAAATTATTATTAAGATTATTTTTTATTCTCTCTAAGTATTTCATCCTATAGTTATTTCAACTTCAATATTCTTAGATTTGTTACAATAATGGGGTTTACTTTAGTCTTAATTGAACATATATTTACTCAACATAACATAGTTATTACAAGTCAATCAACGTCATCTAGACAAACTATGGTCATTCATGCAATTGTATTGTAGTTGTTTTTTTACATTCTGTTGATAGTCTTGTACTTATCATTATAGCTACTTAATTGCTTCATCTTACTAAATGGCTTCACTTCAGTTAATCAAGTCTTTGTAGAATATCACCTCCTTTTGATCTTGTTGTTGTCCTGTGTGGTTTCAGGAATTGTTGTTATAGTTTTTCTGTATAAATTGTCCTGACATTTTTGTATTACTGTTTTAGCTTGATAACGTTGAGAGAATACTCTTCGAAACGTCGCTCAAATAAATAAGTAGCTGTTTTTCCATAAGTATGTGTTATAGCTTATTGCCCTATCCAGTTACTAAATGCCTCTTAAAGATTAATATATTTTCAGTATTTACATGTGAAATCTCACCCAAAGATAGCTATTTTTCTATAAATTTATGATTTGAGTGTACAATAGAATGATATAAATTTCAATTTTATTTGTAAGAATTTTGGCGGCGGTAATATAAACCAATGGCGAATCATTTTCTAACTTGAGAATCGTTGCTCTTTGACCCGTACTTACATTTCAGACCAATGATGATAATAAAATTTGTAATAAAAATATCCGATCAGACATACTTGTATATTTTACATGCCGAATGAAGCCATAGTAAACAGAATTCAACTATCAAAATATTTAATCTTCTTCCAAAAGACAAAACGAAGCCATCATATAATCACCGATTGAATTAATCATTAGGAGTAAATTACATGTATCGTTGGCAATTATCAATCAACTAATCATTAATCCGACACAATTGGTAAGTACTATTCAGTGACATGATCCAGATTATCAGCAAGTTGATTAATTTATAATATTCCGCCACATGAAATGAAATGGGGTTTAACGTCCTACTATTCTGCTCCGAACTGGGCGAAAGAAGACGAGAATACTTCATACAGTGTGCTATGAGGGAAATTTTGACACTCATTGTAAAGGTTAATTTAGGATATATACCATCAGAATTTTAAGATTTTTTTTGCCTGTTCTCAAAAAGAATTGTCAGTACCCCAAAATCGCAAATTGTGACGTTGGCGACCGATAGCGTGAGCCCTGACCTTCTACGACAATTAGAAGCAGACTTATTGTGATTTAAAATGTGTGATGGACAGAAAGACACACAAATGAATAAACCCATTTAAATAGTTCCCTGCTGTCACCAAAAGGTGGGGGGACCATTAACCCTTGCCATAACCCCAAAATATATTGATGGCACTCAGCCTAAGCAGAAATGCCCATCAGTCATTCACCTACATGTAATTAATGATCTCCAAGTTAGCGAGTCACTGTCCTACCCACTAACGAACTAGTGAACATCTTCACAAAGTTTGAACCTTCTACTTCAATTAGAAGCAGAGTCATTGTTTGATGGGCAGACAGACAGACAGAAAAAGTGCATATTATTTTTTGGATAGCTTTCTTGGAAATAAATGAATATTACATGTAGGCTATATCTAACAATTACAATAACTGTACGTTGACAGTAAGGTTATACACATTCACTCTTTTAAAAAACCCAAAAACATTTGGAATTGCATGATAAATGAGATCAGCACCACTCCAAATTTTCTCTATTTCAAATCCATTGCTATTATCACTAATGGACATCCTTTGGTGGCCATATATATTTTACTGTTTAATACATGTATAACAGTTTTGGTATGAAATTGATAGTTAACAGGAAGTGATATCAGACCCAGATTAAAGTGGGTGCTGACAGGGCTAGATAGTGGCCCCTATGTTTGTTCTATAAATGCCAAATAAATCTATCTACCATAGTGACCTACTGATTGCATTTGTGTCAGTGTAACAGACAAAAACCAAAATATTTCCCTTTTCACTGTTGATGCAATTAAGGGCTCTGATGATATTTTCAGCCAGGGGCCCCGTGCAAACTTAATCCATAATAACTTACCTAGATAAGTTTCTTGTAACTTGTTTTAATGCAGCTTCTTTCTTAGCTCGATGAGTTTTACTGGCTTTTTCTGCCAAATCTAAGGCAAGCTGATCTCTTGCTGGTATTATTGGAATCTGGAAGGAGTTAAAGAAATAATATTTTATTAAATCTAACGCAAGCTGATTGGTCTGGAAGAGAGAGAGAGAAGTGAGGTTTAACACAAACTAGATCATTTTGGGACTAACATATGGTTCAAGTTTATTTCAATAATTAGCTTGCGAGTAGGGGTCTTTAGCAGTGGGTGGAAACTGGAGGACCTGTAGAAAACCCACGAGGTTGGACAGGCGACCCTTCTCCTTGTCACGCACAACCCGGGAATCGAAACCATGCCAGTTGACTCAATGACAGACCTTATGATACAATGCACTCGCGCTAACCACTCGATAATCCTACCCCACACAATCTGGAAGGAGTTAAAGAAATAATATTTTAAATCTAATGCAAGCTGATATCTGGCTGGTATTACTGGAATCTGTTTTCGTTGAGCTCAACTATGTCATTTTGAGACTAACATCATCATTAACTTGATAAAGACGTGAGTATCATCATTGAAATGTTAAGTGGTAATAAACCAGTAATTGTTATCCATAAATAGTGTTTAGTGCATTACTGTTCAATTACTAAATGACACTTAAAGAACGTCTATCATATTTCAAATCAATTATTAACATGTTTTCTACAAGGTAGCTAGTTGGTTTAACTTGAGTGACATTTGACAGCATAAACCAGGGGTGGATCTAGAGAGGGGGTGGGGAGGGGTGGGGGTGCAAGCTCAGACTGCTACAAGAGGGGTTATTGTCAACTCTCATCATATCGGTATCCAATCATCTGTTTCTCCTTTATAATGAGAAGCCACACCACCAGTCAAACTTATTCTCAGAATTTAGCTTGTCCAGCAATCCTAAGAAATTTTGGAACATAAAAAAGTTGGAAACAGAATGAAATATAATTAAAAATATCAATAATTATGCCGACGAGGTTTAGTCTAGTGTTCAGTGCACACGTGAAATCACAATATCAAAGTTAAAGGGACATTAGGTAAGATTAGAGAAAGAGCTGACAGTTCTCGCAATAGTTAAAAAATAGATAATGAAAACATCAAATGCTGAAAATTTCAGCTAAATTGCTTCACTCTGAACCAAGATATTTATGATTCAATTTTCAGCTAGCCTCTATTATCATTACTAACAGTAGTTCTATAATTAACAAAGTTCCCATTATCCATTTTTACGTTAAATTAACCATCACAAAATGTATTCAAATCCACTGAAGATAGCAGGCTAACGATTTCATCGAGAGTTGATTATGGCCTGGATTAGTTAATTAATGTCTAATTAATCATTAAGATAACATTTCAGGCCTAAAGAAAGACCTGCAAAAGGCAGATTTAACTCTTGCATAATGCATGTTTAATCCCAAACTGCAAGCTACATAACCTATCACTGGGACAAAATCCTGGGAATCTGAGCTGTGCCTGGGAGTATCATGTGTTCTAGAAAGCTTTGTGCTAGGTTTCCACTGTCCTGTGATGTGTTACGATTGGATTGTCCCTATTGAGTCCATGAGCTGCTATGTGCAGCCACATTCGGATATGTTTTGATACGGTCAACACGATTTCTACGACTGACCGCAATATATGATAAGACCTGATAGGATCACCATGATTACTCTACGATTAAAACTACGATTTCAATCGTAGCACGATTTGTGATAGTCGGAAACTAGCATAAGCATACTCACTGGTGTGCATGACACTCCATCACGACATTAATATTTAAACATAAAATTACCTTAAATACTGGTCCAGATGTATTGCAGGGAGTAAGGCCTGTGTCTAGAGTTAGCGGAGTACCCTCTATCTCTCCCCAGGTCATTAAAGGTGACTCTTCAACACCTGGGGCAGGAGAGGGCGTGGCCATAAAACCATATCCATTCACTCTAGGTGTTTGACCGGCTGATAACTCTTTACCGTCATGGCCGATCTTCCCTTGATTCACCAATGCTTTAGAAACTGCAGCTTGTTGCATTATCTGTTTATTTTTATGAAGGTTGTAAGGGGTGAATTGAAATCGAGTATTTTCATGCACTATCTCTCTGGGTTTAAACTTTTTATCTTCAATAATTTCTTTTTCACTGAGTTCCACACCTGACAAACAAAATAAAGATCATATTAAAATTATGTGCATCATCACATCTCAAACGATTTCCCATCTTCATTAGCCCAGTTGGATCAGATCAATAGGATGTTCAACCCCATTTGATTTTATTTCAATGGAGTTAACTCCCCTTGACCAAACAATCCTTCAATCATTAAAGATAGAGAACCAGCCATACTCTTTTTATTTGTCACTATATCTTTTAAATGTGCAGATCGATGACTGTAGCAACTCGTTTAATATCAAAAACAAAACCACATAGGTAGCAATTAAAAGGAGGGAATGCACGAAGACTAGTAATTCTCTTCCAATTCATTTCAATGTTAATTCCATGACATTTTAATGGCCTATAACATTCTGATGATCTTAATAATCTGATAAAAATATTGAAAATAGTTTCGTACGCCAGGTTATCTCCCTAATTTATGTTTGATGTTTGATTACTTCTTGATCCTTCTGCCTCAAAATCATGAATTCATTCACAAAACCTGACAGAAAATAAATTTTTAAACACTTATCTTCAGATCTTGCCCAAAAGGTGCAAAAAAGGGAAAAGAAAGAATAGCTATAAATAGACCAACTACATTAGGTTTCAATCATGAATTCAGGGGAAATAATTCCTATTCTTAATGCAATGGTAAAACACATTGAATAGTCTCAATTGACACAAAACTTTAAAAACTAAAACATAGGCCAGGTTAACTGGGTCTGTACCTCTGGCAAATCAATTCAGATCTAGAAAATGGTTTGCATTTCAATATCAAATGAAATGGGGTTTAACGTCCTACTTTTATGCACCGAATGGGCTAATGAAGATGGGCATACACCATGCAGTGTGCTATAAGGGAAATTTTGCCCGGACAGTGCACACAAATGTGTCAGACCCTCTGTCTTGCATCACTGACAAGAGTGAACAACACCAATAAATCCTGAGGAATTTTCTTGTCCAACACCAAGGCTTTCAGACTAGCGAGTCAGCGTCTTACTCACTGAGCCAACGTCGCTCCCCATTTCAATATCATGAATAGCCTAATGAAATGAATAATAAAAATTAACTCACCATCAGGAACGTACATGAGTGAATTATCTGATTTATATTTCCATGTATCAACAGAACTTTTATCTACATTTAATATAGCCTGTTTCTCTATTGATGGTAACGCTAACTTCTCTTCGTGCTCCTAGATATCAACAAATTTAAATATTAAAAAATAAACGTAAATAAATAAGGTGGGGACTAACAAGCAGTTGCCATGCAAGATACGCCCACATTTATACACAATCAGGGGCCATAATCCAGAAATTTCTGATCCATGCTAATATCGAAAGGAACCAAGATATAAACATACATATAAACATACATTTTAAGTTTCATAAAAAGTGGAAAAAATTGTGACCTCTAGAGTGTCCACAAGCTAAAAATGTGCTTTTTCGTACAATCAGAGGCCATAGTCCATGAAGTTACGGTCAGATAATTGCCAATATCGCAAGGAACCAAGATCTTTATTGGGATTTGGGATATAAACCTATATTTCAAGTTTTTGTCAAAATTGGATAAAATCGTGACCTGTAGAGGTGCGATGACAATATATGTCCACATGAAAATATGGGGTACAAAAATGGACAGAAAGCAGAAACTTCATGTTACCGTGAAATTTTGAATATGATTCACCATATCTTGATGTATGATTGGGTATATTTCCGGCTGGACGGTTAGCAACTTGCATAATATAATTTACAGCATATACAGGGCTAGATCTATTTCTTAAGGCCAACTCAAGATTTCGTCAAGGTCGCAGGGTAAATATTAGGGCTAGGTCCAGGATTAGGATTATCGCTAGCACTGTTTACATCTTGTGACCGTTGACCAAACTTGGAAGTTGGCCTTATGAAATAGATCTAACAGCATATATGGGCGAAACATTATCCACGGCGTGCTACTTCCTTCTTTTGAAATGACATCCATACATTTTTCGTACAAAATATGCAAAAAGAAAAAAAAAAAACCAAGAAAAAATATTAACTAGAGGACTGAAGATTTCTGTTAGGATTGAATATAATTGAACTACCTTCATTTGTTCTCCTTCTTTATTAAATAACCAGGCATGCTTGGCTCGATGTTTACGATCCGATTCTCTTAATATTTCATCAAACGCTGCATTATCTTCACTTGTATTCTTACTGAAAAATTTATCTAGACCTAACCTGCGACTTTCTGAAATTAAAGCACAGAAGAATATTAATTTTAGATGAAATACATTCGCAGGAATTGTAATGGCAAGTGTTATTAGAATTTTCAGGCTTTAAAAGGGTATATGACTGATGGCTCTATACTTTGTAACCTTAAAATAGATGAAAATGGGCCCAAAAGCACATATTAATCTTATATGAATGTATATAAAGTGATTTATATTCAACTTTTAAAATATTTATTGTAATTTCTAATCAATTATGTTTGGTGAAATATATGAACTGTCGAAATTGAACACAGTCCATTCTACAGGTTTTTTTTTTATAAACATTCTGTCGTTTGTGAATCAGCCATTACTAATTACTACTCTGTTGTCTCGATATGGGTTTTTTTTTGGTTCAGTACAACTACAAACTATAAATGCCACCTGAAACTATAGCCAACATGACTTGTGCGGTGATTTAAAATGTTTTTTGTGTCTTAAATATTGGATATTGGGTCCTATATTTTCATGGCGGGATAACAACATCAATATTGATTAAAATGGACCAATATTAAATTTGAATTTATGTTTTTAATTTGGAATATTATGGGAAATATTGAGTTAGATGTATAGCTCTTTTAACTTTGGGAGGTTGGATGGCTGAATGGTTAGCGTGCGCGCGCTGTATCATAAAGTCTATCATAAAGTCTGTCATTGAGTTGACTGGTGTGGTTTCGAATCCCCGGTTGTACGTGGCAAGGAGTAGGGTCGCCTGTCCAGCCTCGTGGGTTTTCTCCGGGTCCTTCGGTTTCCTCCCACTGCTAAAGACCCCTACGCGCAAGCGAATTATTGAAATAAAATTAAACTATATGTTAGTCCCGAAATGACCTAGTTTGTGTCGAGTGGACGTTAAACCCCATTTCTCTCTCTCTCTCTTTTAACTTTTGATAGTTTTATCCCTTTATGCACTCCAGAAATGAAGAAAAACCCATTAAAACTACAGCCACTACTATGTTTACATAGTCTATGGAAAAAGGTGATGGGGGGATTATTTAGAGGTTTAGTTCCTTTAAAGATCACTGGAAAAGTTTCATAATTCTTTAATATAATGGAACAATCTGGTTAAAAAACAGATCCTATTTTGTTTCGTTTTTATAGTTCAAAATTTCGTTTTACTTGTCTTTACTACACTTGGATCTGGAAGAGTTGTTATTTAACTCATGTTCTGAATGGTGTCAGGGATAAGCCAATGAAACGGTCTGTTACGGCGAGCTTTAGGCGTTTTTTTCACGGAACTGTGGGTAATCCACTAGTAGCATCAATGCTGATTGGTTAATCAAATGTCTGACGTCATAGGGTCATAAGTAGGTCTTTTGACCCCTGACGTGACCTATCGCTATAGTCAGATCTTCATGTAGTGTAGGCCATCGAAAGTATAAAAAAAACCAAACGAAATATAGATCTGTATTTTAATCAGATTGTATAATGGAAAGGACATCTTGACATAATTTCTTGCATTATTAAATAATCAAAAAATTTATTAAGCTTTTCCGGTGACCTTTAAGTTAGTATTACCTGGATGAGTGATTAAAACATTTTTCATAATTTAAAGCCTTCTGTAGCATCCATTTTCATTGTATTATACAAATGTACCTACCACTGACTTCCAAGTATGTACCAATATTTGACTTTTCAATTTCAGGATTAACTGGATGTAAATCGGGAGGAGCAGAAGGATCGACGTCTCCATCTTTAGTTTTAAGTTTTGGAGAGGAATTTCTTTGACTTGGATCTGGTGTTTCAAATGTTGCTGGAGATAAATCTGAATAAAATAATGAAAATAACTTAAGAGTCTTGAACACCTTGTAAGCTACACTATCGTTCAAATTGAATCTCCAAAAGAAATATCAATCCCGAAATGGTTCAATTTAGTTCAGTATACAAAAATGTAATGATCTGACAATGTTGCAAATATTGAACATCCTCTACAGACAATATAAACAAGCCAGCATCACCCACAACTGTTGGGTAAAATCTTTTGTAAGTCCTCAATCTAGGTCGGAAGATTATTTCCCATTCATATGTCCATTTTGTTACATTAATTAAATGTTAAAAATCTATTTGAGTACATTTCAGGTGTGAATTATGCTGTGAAAAATAAGATGTATGAAGAAATAAAAGATTGAGAGCAGGAACTTTAAAAATAATGAATACCGGTACAGAAGATTCTGTAGCCCTACTAATTATAATTACGAATAGTAATAATAATAACAAAAGTCAAACATATAGATGTTATACATATTTGAAATCAGCAAAACATACTACAGATTTTGATAATACAATTAAATATAAATGAATTAGAAATATATACATTATTTACATACATTATTCAGTAAATGGACATGAATATGGTTATCTACCCTTATAAAAATGAATGCGAAACGACTGGTTTGTAAACTGTTTTTTGATTGGTTCATAGACTTTAGTTACAATCAAGGCCAGGGCAGATAATTTGAAATCGTGGAAACTCTACGGATTAACCCAGGGTATAGTTGAGTAGAACAGAATGAGAACACTGGGGATATAGAGGATGTAGTTAAAACAACTAGTTTAGTTTTGGAAAGATTAGATCATAATTGATGCTTCTATTACCGTAAAAAGAAGTGTGGATGACAGACAGAGTCGAGTGAAGGTATAAAAATATATTAATGTCTTACATTGTGAAGAACTTGCGGTACCAGGTCTGGAAGGACCATATTTCATTTGTATTTTCCGTAATGTAATCAAATCATTCTTCTCTAAAGCTTCCAAATATTCCGCTTGGGCATCAAGTTTTGGTAAATCGGGGTAAAAATCTCTTTCAATGATCTTTGTTATTTCCTGAAAAAAATCATTCAAACATGTAACCCACATCTTTATCATAAAGTTTCAGTGTAAAATTCTATAACCTCTTGGTCCAGTTTATACAGAAAACATGTAATAATTTACAGCTACATATACATGTACTGCTTGTCAAATTCCAAAAGAAATTTTATGTGCACACCATTTTTATTAATAGAAATATTGTTTTTTTGTAAAAAGTCTGTTTACTTGCCGTCAAAAAGATTGTAGTTTTGTTAAAGGCTTGTTCATTTACTGTTCTAAATCTGAATATACGACATTTGCACCAACTGTGACCACGTCATGCGCTGCATTTTTCAAAAGGTATATGGCGTCATGTATTAAATTAAAGATACATTATGGGAGATTCGGTAACGAGTTGGCAGTTTTCACTATAGTAGTTCAAAACTGGGTAATGTAAAGGCAATTTGGTGAAAATTTCATTCAAATTGATCCACTATGAACCGAGAACTAAGCGACTGAAATTCCCATAAGCCTCGGTCATCATTACTAAAGTCAGTACGATAAACAGCATAGTCTCGATTATCCATTTAATCGTTTAATTGAGAAGGAAAGTTATGCAGTAAATCGGCGTACAATCCACTAAAGATCGCAGACTAGTGCTGCCATCTAGAGTTGATTATGGCCTGGATAGTTTAATTAATCTCTAATTAATAATTTAGATAACATTTCGGGCCTAAAGAAAGACCTGAAATAGGCAGATTTAGCTCTTGCATAATGTATGTTTAAGCTTCCGTTCAATGAGCTCTATGAAAAACTATAAAAGAACTGACATAAAAACACAAAAACAAGACTTAACCATCACAAATCAGATACTTTAATTATGATTAAAATTTATACCTCTGTGTACGTGTCTTCATCCAATATTTTCTTTGCTTTCGTCACTACTTTCGATTTGTTGTCAACCACAGACACGACCATATCACTCTCTTTTACCTTCTGTAACGCCATTTTAAGCTATTTTGATGACTTTAGTAGAAATTTAACCCTACTTCAATTATCCGTTCAAAAGCCTGGCCATGCTAACATATATTTTTTGACGTATGAGTAGATAAGAATTCATAAACAAAAAATTACGTTTTTGGTAAACAGAAAACGATTAAAACGGAAGTAGGATAGAAACGACCCCTTTACGTTTGTTGTAAAGTTTTACTGTGGGTCCTGATCAAAATAATGAGTGTAGGCTCTTCATTGTTAATCATAAACTTTACAACTAATTATTACTTAATTGCTAAAAATATTTACTTTCATAGGAAAAAATTGTTTTCTTAGATTTAGATTTACGACATATATCTAAAATAGAGTTTCCTCCCTTAGAACGCAAAATGGACACAGATCACTAAAGTTTTCCCCATTGACTCCAATGTTAATTCTCGTATCTTAGACTGGCTCTAACTTTTTCCCAAATTTTCGTTGGGTAGAACGCTTTCTACCACAGATGGAGCAACATGTGGCAACCACTTGCCCAAAAGCACGTATGAGGTTCTTCATGAAAAACTTGAGATACACAAGCTGGAAGTAGAGACAAGTAAACATGCAATTTCAGGCCCTACATTTCAACCTAACCAACCTCGCAACTCTTGTATCCTTCCGCATCAAAATTATGTATTTTCACCAAAACCTGGCAGAAAATGTATTTTCAAACCCTTTTCCTCGATTCTACACCAAAAAGTCAACAAAAATCGCCATGCAAAAGGGGGAAAAAGGAAAAGGGAGAGGAAGACTACAAATAGCTTTGGCCCTTGTTTGTAGGAATATTTGGTGATCTGTGTCCAAATGAATTTTTTTTTTTTACTCTCTTGGTCGGAAATTATTACTTTGTTAAATGCACATATTGCGCAAACTAAAATAATGTAGCAAATTGTTTCAATGTAACATCAATCTGATTAAAATATATTTCGTTTCGTTTTTAATACTTTCGATGGCCTACGCTACATGAAGATCTGACCGGTTGTACTGGAAGGTCGCGTCAGGGGTCTACGAGTGGCTTTTGACCCTATGACGCCAGACATTGATTAATCAATCAGCGTTGACGTTTCAAGTGGTTTACCCACAGTTTCGTGCATCGCATGCCAAGAACTCGCCGTAACAGACCGTTTCATTGGCTAATCCCTCCCAACCCGGACGCTGGTAATATAACAACTCTTTCAGACCCTACTGTAGTAAAGACAAGTACAACAATATTTTGAACTATAAAAAACGAAACGAAATAAGGTATGTGTTTTAATCAGATTGAATGTTAGATGAAACAAAACAGTCGTAATTGTAGTCGAATTCACAGCGTTGTTTTTATGGGTAGTCCTGAAATCCTTGCCCTGTCCATGCCCTGTCTTAAACGATAGACAAGACTGTCATATCCGCCCTTTTGACAAGTCCTGTAACCTTTGACGAGGGATTTGAGCGTTAGAGCTTCTTTTTTTTTTTACATTTGACTTGGTGCAATTTTCATGTTACACTCAGCATATTGCAGCATTGAGGATGTAAAAGCCCTAACAACATAGCACCGATTTTTGACTCAAATCCCCCGTCATAGTAACCACCCTTACATACTGATATTTCAAAATGAATCTTGGTTAAGTATTTGACAAGTTGGACTGACAGCTTGCTATAATAGTTTAAAATAGATGTGAGTCAAATTCCTTTTTTCTGAGCGAAGTTGTGAATGTTTGAAGCGTGATGGACGAATTATCGGAGGTGTGTCAAAATTTAACCATTGTCGACCTTATCCGGAAAACAAGAGTCATTTCACCACAAACCATTATTTTAAGCCGCATTAGATTCATTAATTAGAAAGTCGCCGAGACACGTACATAATATTCGACATTGCTCGATAGAATAACTATCGGAACATTTGTAGCCCAAATGGTTTATGTATACCATCCAGCTATCCGCTTCATCTATCCCAAATAATGAATTTCTACCAAATTGGAAGTGTGTGTGGGGGGGGGGGGGCGAATTGTTGACGCGTGCGTGTGGAATCAGATGGTCTGTCATTGAGTCAAGTAACGTGGTTTCGATTCCCCGCTTGTACGTGACAAGGAGTAGGGGTACCTCTCCAGCCTCGCGGGTTTTATTCGGATACTCAGGCTACCTCCCACTCTTAAATGCCCCTAAACGCAAGCGAATTATTGAAATAAAATTGAACCATATGTTAGTACCGAAATGACCTAGTTTGTGTCCAGTAGACGTTAACATTTCTCAGGTTAATTAGTTTTTATGTGGCATTGAACATTACATTAAACCATGTATTTAACCATACACTTAACCACACATTAACCATTACATTTATCCATGCAGTGAATCCATATAATTATTGTCCATTAATAAGAGGTCAGCCAGAAGGAAATTTTTAACTTTAAATCTGTGGTAATTGTTTCATGGTAAAATATTAACAGTAAATTTTATTTCATTGCCAGAGAGTTATAGTACATTTTAAAATAAAATTGCCAAATATTTAGGTAATTATATTATTACTCCACCCTTCTTTGCATAACGTTTACGAGAAAAGTATTATGTATATTTCTACTTATAGCATACTGGGTAATACCAAATAATTTTAATATTTCATCCTTTCAAATTTCATGTTTTGTAACAATAAGGCAAGACCAATTTGTTTTTCTGTTCTTCGGTGTTCAAATCTTGATTCTTATTTCTCCAGAAAAAAAATAAAAAATTAAAAACCAAGAGTACTTGATTGCACTGTTCAAAAGCTTTTAATTCTAAATTTTTAAGTTTTTAAATTGAAAGCAAAACATCTTTCACGTGATTCAACAATCTGTTTCACAGAGAATTATGAAAGTCTTCTAATATCTCTGTAAACGATGACTGCCATTAACACGTGACGTCACAGCACGCGGCGTCAATCATTGGCTGAATGGTGCATGCATTGTTTACATAAGACGTTACTGTTTCGGGCAGAATGCTGCCTTTTAGTCATTTTAATACCCATTTACACTAAATAGGAAATAATTTTTACCTACAAATACGTCAAACGTCTTTATTTATTTTTCTAATACATCCAAAAAATGTTTTAGAATTTAATTTGTCGGTGAAACAAAGTAATATTTGAGACTCATTAAGTTGCATTGATGTTATTCTTATCAGTGATTGTAGCGGCCCAGCGAATATTCACTTCTGATCAGTGTGGGGATTCAAGTGGCTATTTATTTATCAAAATCCCTGAAAAACTGAAAATTAAATTGATGTGGCCGAAACAATGTGTTCACTAGAACAGGATGTATTTAGCTGTTTATGACGTAATCGCCGTCAATAAAAAAACAACAAAAAAAAACCCAAAATCACTGGGCGTTCTTCATGATTCCGACCGGAATTCTCTGGTCATTCGGATTGGATGGAAGGCTGGCGTCTAATAGCCTACTCGTTTGCATACAGGCAAAAGAAACATTGGCATTTTGAATACGACGAAGAGTAGTTCCTTTAGGAACTGTCTCTGATCGCAAGATGTTCGCTGACAGTTCCTAAACGTCCCTATATACCCTAGCTGCAATATAAAAATATCGCTCATCCCCACCTCTGGTCTAGGGCTATTTTGGAATCATTACGACTATTTTTCGCCGTGATTGTTTGCCAAAGGAATCATTTCTTGTCACAGCTGACACACATTTATAATAATTCAACACTATTTTCAAGTAGAATTTTGCGATGAAAAACATGCACAATATACGTTTGAACTGATCAGCCATTTACCGTATTTTCATATTGCTTTATAGGAAGGGATAGGAACTGTCAGCGGACATCGTCCGATCAGAGGCAGTTCCTAAAAGAACTAGACGAAGAGTTGGCTGAAACGCAAATTTCACTCGAATATATTGCATGACTTGCTATGCTCGTTTTCATACTATTCGACTGATTGTTGCGAGAAAATTCGAGGAATCAATGGTGATTCGTAGAGCATAAATGGACCTTAATATAACATTATATTTCGTCAGCTACAACCCTACCATACTGCAACCAACAAAAAACTGAAAGTTAACCAATATAATAAGCGATTTTTTTATACTGTCAATTAAGGGGCGGAGTGGGTCATGGCCACATGATGGCGTTGTGTCATTTAGAGTTATAGGAAGGTAATAAAATGAATTTCTGTCCTTAGCCTACCTTTGTTTTGAAATAGTGGCACAATGATGAAACAACATGCAATATTTGTTTTACGTTTACGGACCACACGAATTGACCTTCAACCAAAGCGAAAAGCGGAAATGATTTTCCCCTCGAATAAATCTCAGGTATTTCACCACACCGTTGAAATGGGACGTGGGTATAAACTTTTAGAAATTGTATTAATTTAATAATAGAAAAACTACATCATTTTCGGGCTAAACAGTTGTGTAATAAGGTAAGGCCAATAACTGAAGTGTGACGACCCGCATATTATTGTGAAAGAAATGTAACAATGGATTTCATATATTTTTTTTAGGGGAAAATATTTTATGGTATAAAAGTAAAAGTGAATTTTCTTTTCTAATGGTGAAAAAATAAAATATTTAGGTGTTTATTACGCCACCCTTTTGTCAATCTGATTAAAACACAGATCCTATTTCGTTTGTTTTTTTTTAGAGTTCAAAATTTCATTTTACTTGTCTTTATATGGATCTGGAAGAGTTGTTATCATTGACGTATTCTAGATGATGTGGGGGATTAGCCAATGAAACAGTCTATTAAGGCGAGCTTTTGGCGTGTGCAGCTCGGAACTGTGGGTAATCTACTAGAAACATCAATGCTGATTAGTTAATCAAATGTCTGACGTCATATTGTCAAAAGCCGCTCGTATGACCTCTGACGCGACCAATCACTACAACTGGTCAGATCTTCATGTAGTGTAGGCCATAGGAAGTATGAAAAAACGAAACGAAATATAGATCTGTATTTAAATCAGACTGCCCTTTTGTTTTACTTATATCATACTGGGAAATGTTGTACGATTATATGATATTTATCTTTTGTATGATCACGTTTTTGCTTTGTGTCCTACATGCCTTGGAGCCGCGGTGGCTCAATGAGTAAGACGTTGGCTCGCTTACCTGGAGGTTCCATGTTCGATCCCGGTGTTGGCTGAGAAAGTTCATCTGGATTTTCCTAC